GATGGAGTCTCTCTGGTATCACCAGAATTCCCTAACTCACCACTTCTGCAAATCATTGGCCTTATGGGAAACTGCCACATATTCATCTGAAGTCTGGCACCCTGCCCAGGGGCCCAGAGCCTGGGAGGTACCCCCCATAAACTAATTTGAGGACCTACGGTTCCTCACGCCTTGACAGTGGCAGCAGGCACTTCTGTGAAGGGGGGGTGGAAATCCCCAGAAAGGAATCTGAATAAACATTTACTGAGGCTGGAAAGTGCATCTGGTCTTATCAGGAGACATTATATTCACCAAGCACGTATGAGGGCTAATCACGGCTTTAAGGGGTGTGTGTAGCAGGGAGAAGAGCAAAGAAACAACTTGTCTGCCTGCTTCCAGCTTTGCACCTGGGCCCTCCCTGCCCACCGTCACCCTCTCCTTCACAGCGGCCAGGGGTACACTGCTAAAACCGTGCGCATGATCCACGCACTGCTCTCTCCTTCAGAGTAAAAGCCCAAGTCCCTCCAGGCCCCTCCAACCAGCCCCCCTGGTCCAGCACCTCCTCTCTTGCCCTTGTCTCCTCTGCTCCAGCCTCACTGGCCTCTGTGATGTTCTCAGAGCAACCCAACCACAGGTCCCAACTCAGGGCATTTGGGACCCTGTCCTTTCTGCTTGCACACCCCTTCTTAAGCATCCACATGGCTCATCTTTACCTCCTTCAAGCCTGCCCATTAAATATCAAAATGTCCCTCCACCTAGCACCCCAGTTTCTAGTGGCCTCTCCTGCACATTAGCACCAGAAATCATCTATGGCACTGCAGATCTCCCACACATGCCCTGTTTTCTGTGTGCTTCGCCCATTAGAAATCAGCTCCCCCAGGGCAGTATTTCTGTCTGTCCTGTCACTGCTGTGCACCTGGCACCAAGATCGGTGCTGTTCATTCTACAAATGAATGGATGAACAATAAATGAGCAAGGAAACCCCTGGGGTTATCTGAGCCAGCCCCAGATCCGTGCAGGATGCGTGGGTCAGGAAGTAGACACACTTAGAAGTGTCTCTATAGAGTGTGCAGGGAATCTTCAACTCCCACGGGGTGTAGGTATGAACAGCCTCAAAGCTCTGCCCTCTAGCAAACCAACAGATTTCATGGTCAAATATTATTATGTGGGAAATTTAGAATAAATAATAAAAATTGAATCTCCTGAACACCAATTTTGGTTTTAAATAAGGGGGGAAACTTAACCAATACAAACCTCAGGGCAGTAGGTGGGCCTTTGGCGACCCACAGAAACACAGCCTGGTAAGTCAAGATCAGGATCAATGGCACTCCCACTTCTTATTACAAACCCACCTCCACAAATCAGCACAAACACAAACCTCCCACACGGGTCCTCAGCAACCCTCTTCCTCACATTATTCCTCCCTGAATTCAGCAATAAGAGCTACCCGAGATGTTCAAACCCCAGCTCTCTACTCAGGGCGCTCCAGGAGTCCCGGGCCTGGGTGAGAGCAAGCTTGTAGGAACCTGCCATAGGGCTTTAAGCTGAACGGGCAGCTCCCTGTTGCAAGCTCTCGGGAGAAGAAAGAGTTGAAGGCAGAAGGGGTCTCTGGGATCCAAACAGAGTTGGTTCCTGTAGGAAATCCCCAAGCCCATACCTCTACCCCTCACCATCCGTAAGCTCAGCTTCAGGACACAGGCTTCAGCAGCCCTGCCTATGCCCCTAAAGGGACCCTGAAGTCCTCTGGCCAGCCACCACCTTACCTGGTCCTCCACCTGCTGCTCACTCCACCCCCCTATATTCCTGGGCTTGTGGCCTCCTGTGATCCCCAGATCCTCTCTAATTCTGATTTTTCATCCACAGGTCAGAGATGAGTTGATGACAGATGGTCCCTGCCTCACAGAGAGGCCAGCACCTTCCTGCAGCCCTCCTCACTGGGCTGGGGTGGGGCAGGAGCGGGGGGTGTGAGTTGGGGGAAGCATGTGCTGCCAGGCATCAGCATGTGCCCTGGGAAGTTGGTCTGTCTCTCAGGCCCCTCTTCTGTAAAGCGAGCAGCAGCTGGACTCATCACCAGCTTGCTAAGCATTTTGAAGCAACTAAACACTTTTGGAAATGAAACTCTTACAGGGAGGTCCGACAGGTAAACAGGTAAGGGTGGAGATGCTCAGGCTGGAGAGCACCTGTGGGGGAGTAGGAGCCCCTTGGCTCCTCCCTTCTGCCATCCCGTGGCCTGAGCCCCTCTACAGGGCCCCAGGATTCTCTATGGCACATCTGGAAACCCAGGGGTCTGAGAAATGGATAGAGGCTCTTTTAGCCACAAGATTCCACAGTCCTGTCATGACTGGTAACAACCCCCTAAGAAGAAAACCCACTTCTGCCACTGCTCTCCCTTTACAACAGCCATCAAAGCCGGACAAACATCCTGGATTGGGACTTGCCTGAAATGGTTGCAATGTTGCACTCCCACAAGGGAGCACATAAGGGGGAAATAATATTCGTTATTGGTGTGACTGATTTAAAGAGGAAGGAATGTGTTCATCCTTCCCTTAACATTAACAACTCATCCCCGTCTGAATCATGGAGAAAGCCTACGCCTCCATGGCCCAAGGTCATCCTGGTGAAAACTAAGTCCCTGGCCTCCTTCACAAACTGAAGACTCTCCCTTCAGTGAATTTCTTGACCTGACTGACCCTTGAGAGGAAGGTGCAATCAGTGTAGCCTCAGTTGGCTAAATATTGAGCCTGGGTATACAGAAGATTCTCAAGAATGACCGACATTGATGCTGGGCTCATTTGTGCACTTTCTGGAGTTGCTGTCCTATCTACACATGGAAAAGCAGCCTTCAGAGGGTAAGCTGGAAACCCACAGACAGAACAGGCAAGTGGAACCCAGGAATAGCCTTTTTCCTATAGTGGATAAGGGCATTTAAGTGATCAACATGGATGAGTCATCTACACTCAGTGTCTCCAATTCCTGCTCCCCACTCTCCTGTGCATCTACTTAAATCAGATTCCCACTAGCACCGTACCACTGACAGCTCTTGTCAGGGTCACCAGTGACCTTCACAGCCCCCAATCCAATGGGCAATTCTCAGTTCTCATCCTCCCAAAGCTAAGAGGCATCACGTGACTCAGCCAATGGCCCTCTCACCTGCCTGAAATCCTTCCTCCCCTTGGCTTGCAGGGAGCTCCCTCTCCGGCTGCCTCTCCATCTCTGGCCACTCCAGATCGGGCTCCTTGCCTGCGCTCCTCTTAATACTGCAGGGCTTAATACTTAGGGCTGCAGGGATCGGTGCTCAGAAGACCCTCCCCACAGACCTCCAGCCTGCAAATACAACTGTCGACCCCAGCACCCCACTTGGACGTCTAAGCGTAACGCAGCCGGCTAAGCTCCCACACTCCCCCTCCAAACCGGGTCTCCCTCCTCCAGCCTCCAGTGCTCCTCATCTCACTTAATGGCTGCTCCATTCCTCTACTTGCTCGACTCAAAGCCTTGGCATCACCCTTCTCTCACACCCCACATCTGATCTAGACGCAAATGCTCTCGGCTCTGCTTCAGAGTACACCCAGACTCTTGCCATGTTTTCCCTCCTCCACCGTTTCCAGCCTGGTCAAGCCACCATCATCTCTTGCCTGGATTCTTATCATCTCCTAACTGGTCTTCCTGCATCTACCTTTACCCCTCTTACAGTGTTTTCAGCCAGCCACTAAACTGCACGTCAGATCCTGGTACTCCTGGCTGACACCTTCAACGGCCTCACAGCTCCCTCAGCTGAAAGCCGACACCCCCAGCAATGCCCTGGGGTCCCTATGTGATGTGGCTCTGTGTGATGTCACCTCCCTGACCTCACCTCCGCTGCTCCCCACCTGGCTCACCTCGCTCCAGCCACACGGGCTTCCCGTCTTCCACCAACACGCCAGGGACCACCCTGCCCCCGGGGCTTTGGCTTGCTCTTTCTGCCATATACATTCTTCCCCTGATCAACATGGCTTTTCCTTCATTACCCTGTTCAGGCCTTTGCTCAAATGTCACTGCCTCGGTGAGGTCCTCCCAGCCCCATCCCATGCCAAAGCCCCACTGCCTGCTTCCCAACACTGCCAGGTGTCTCCCCGCTTTATAGTTTGACACCCAGCACAACTGTATTTCCCTGGTACAATCCAAGCAGAACAGAAGCTTCACAAGGACAGATATTTTTTTGTCAACTCTGTTCATACAAGTATCCACAGCTCCTAAGACAATGTCTGGCATCTAGCAGATGCTCAATAAAAACGTGCTAAGTGAATGAAAGCTTTTCTTATTTCTCAGGATTTAGAAGGGCCTCCAAGGAGCCATGTATTCCCTGGAATGGAAAGCCAGATTTTGTGTTGGATTTTTTTTTCTGGGAAGAGAGTCTATAGCTTTAGAGTCTCAAGGGGATTTGGGACTAAAAAGAAGTGGAGAAACTACTAACCGGACGCATGAATTCAACAAGGATATTACAGGTTTCTTCAAATGATGAATAAACTTCATTCACAGCTATCTGCTAAAATAGGAAAGTGAAATAAATCCACGAGTGGTATGATCACAGTGTTCTTGGCTCAGCATCTCTAGCACAGTCCAGAGATGTGCCTTGGGAATTTTTATGAGATTCTGAATAGGCAGCACTATCATCCACACTGTCTGTGAGCCAGGAGACTGGTGAGAATGAATAAAATGTGTTTTCACAGATTTGGAGCAAACGCTAATATTCACGCACAGCTGAAAACAAAAGTGTGTGTAAGGAGGCCCACCACACGCAGAGCGTGTGATGAGCCAGGCAGGCAGCTGGCTAGGCAAACAGATGCACCCCAGTCAGTCCATCACCTTGGGCCCCTGGAAAATAAGCAGGACCTGGTCCCAAAATAATAAAACCAGTCCCTCTTTCCCACCACTCACCCATTTACCTCCAATTCCAAAACCAAATCAAAACAAACAGCTCCACACACAAACACACTGATGGTCATATCAGGTATACAAACATCACTGTGAGGGCCATCACTTACCTTCCCCGATCATAGAGACCCCAACGGACATGCCCATGAACTTGCTTTTGGTCCATATGTGAGTGTTGATGCACAGTCTCTTCTCCTTGCACTCACAGTAGAAGCAGGAGATGGGTGGGTGATGGGACACCTGCTCAGCCACAAACCTTAGTTTGTAGCTTTTAGAAGAGTCATCAGCCAGGAGGGGTTCATGGTCGGTGGGAGAGTGGGGAGCAGTCCTCTTTGGCTTGACCCTGTCCTGGGGAACCTCCCAGGAGCAGTGGAACGTCTCCCCGATGATGGGGTTGTAGGGCTTCTTCGCCAAGGCCCCCTTGCGGCCCTCCTGGAAGGCTGTGAGATAATATTCCACAAAGCAAATGACTCTCTCCTCCGGCGTGGCAGCAGCCGCGATGGCCAGCAGGAGGTCGGGGTGCGCCATGAAGTCGGCATACATCTCCAGCAAGGATCGCTTCTCCAGAATGAAAGTGGGAAGCACCACCTGCATCCAGAAGGAGACAGTAAGACAGAAACCCTATGATCATACACGGAAATTGCAAAGGTAAAAGTCAGGCTGCCAGCACCTCAAGCAAACGCACAATGGCTGGAGCCGGGATGTTTTCTTAGAGATGTGAAGATAACAGCTTGGGAGGCCTAGCTCATATTCCCGAACACTGGGCACAACCAAGAGGGATGCACGGTGGGTTCCCACAAACATCAGAAGTGGGGTTGGCTGGTGTCACATCACAGGGGGTCTGGGCCAACCAGGACCCACCACTCCCAGGAGCGTCTCTTTGGAGGTCTCTGCTGAAAAGCTGTGTGTAAACCCTAATGTGATCAGTGCGGGGGCGGGCGGGAGGGGCCCCTGGCCCGGGTTGGCAGGAGGCAAGGCCGACTAGCAGGCGAGGGTCCACAGACCTGCCATGGAGGAGGGGGCCGTTTGTGCAGGTGCCTCGCAAGACTGGGCCGGAAGAAATGAACAGAGGTTACAGAGACGCAGGGAGGCACTTCACTCAGAATCCCTGGGTAAATGAACCTGCAGAGGGTCTCCCCTGGGTCTGTCACTGGCCTCGTTACTGAAGATAAGATATCTGAATGGCTCTGTCAGTGACAAGAGAGACTTCTTACTGACCCACAGTGAATCTGTGGCCGCTTGGGTGCCATACAACTCCAGACGCCTGTAACCCCACAGTGAGGTCACTTAAAGCAAATAAAAGACCCTCTGAAACCGGCTGGAAAGCAGGCAAATTATTATTAGTGACACATGAAGGAGAGAGTGCCCGTTTCCCACTGCTCTACAGCGACCCTAAAGTGACTTAGTTAAGTAACACTCCACCCACTAGGTAGCAAAACTCTGCTTGCTGTGACCTGGACCATCTCACGCTGCTCTTCCCTACATGGAGGCACATGAGTCAAAGCAGGAGGGCGGCCTCGGTCTGCCGGCTCCTCCTCGACTCCCTTGGAGTGAGGAAGAGGGCCCCCCCCAGTTCCAGAGAGCTGGCTCCTTCCTTACTGGGCCAGCCACCCTCCTTCAGAGGGCCCGACTCCCAGGAGAGCACCGCAGAGGCGGAGGACCGGCACGCACGGCGGCAGCCTGTCTCCAATCTGCTTGCTCAGCCCCTTCCTTGCAAAGGATGTAGATGCAATGGAAGAGAGACGTCCCAACAGAAAGGGACAGACAGGCAGACCTCAGATCAGCAGAGCACTGAGATTTCAGAGGAACTGGAGGAAGCCCAGCCCACTGGAGAAGCGAGGGTGGTATCTTTCTTAATGCTTTTCTATCTTTCACTTAAAAACTGTGTCAGAGGAAAATATACCTATGTTAAGCAAAAAAGCAGCCAAATATAAGGTTAAACGTGTAACACAATCATGAAAAGAACACAGATGTTAACATGTGCCTCTTGGTGATAGAACTGAGTGATTGTTCCATTTTTTTCTGAGTATCTTTTTTTTTTTTTTTTGCTTTTCTAATATATTGGAAGAAGAAACAATATTTAGAAGACAAAATTGGGAATCTGGCTGCCCAAGGATCTGAGCTGGCCAAGCAGAATGGCCTTCCAGTGCCTCTGCTATTACTTCCCACTTCTCTTTGTGGGGACAGGTCACCGTTTAGCAGCCCCTGCTGTGCCCTCTGGGGTCTGCTCCTCCCATGAGGCTCACAGCCAGGTAGCTGCCTTCTCCCTGGTCTCCCACCCCACGGGTGGCTGGTGGCAGAGTAAAAAGGAGAGATGAGAGAAGCCCCAGGCACTGGCCACCTCTCCCACCCCACCCGATGGACTCCCCCAGGCAGGCTGGGCAGGTGGCTTGCGGGTGTGGGCAGCTGTGGAACCACCCCAGCAAGGAGGCCTAATTCAAAGGTCCGTACTGCCAGTCCCTCCCCAAACCATTCCATTTCCCGCTCTCCCTTCCAGGGGGCGAGTCAGGGCAGGGGAAGGGCAGAACAGCTGAGGGCGGTCAGCCAGCAAGAGGTGTCCCGTGACCCTGACTCGCACCTGAACCTCACCCCGTGGCCCTGGCAACAACTGTGCCTCAGGACAAGAAGTGTCATGTCAATCTGCGGTTGAAGCTACGCGGAGAGAACTGGCTACCACATTTACTTTGGGTATGGGTAACATATGTCCCAAGTATGTACTTTGGGAAAGGGCAACAATTTAAGACATTTCTCCTACCTTAGCATTTCCAAACTCAGAAGCTAAAGAATTAAAACAAAATAAACAGGAAAAAGTACCCCACTCACAACCCCAAATCGTTGAACATCTGAACCAAAAGGGACCTTCAAGGTGATGGGCTTCAACGCCCTGGTCTCACAGGGGAGGGGGCAGAGACGGGGGGGTGAGAGGGGGCCAGACCTAGGCTAGGAGCACACAGAGGACCTCGGGGCCCCTGGCCGCCACCCCAAACTCCTCACCATTGCCCCTGACACATGATGATCACCTGCTCCTGGCCAATGAGAACATTTCTTTCCCTCGGTGGAGCAGGGAAACAAGAGTCCACTGGACAGGAGACCTGGGTGGGCTGGGCCCCCAGCCACTATCACTGATAGTGAGTGGGGGCAGGAAGCAGCCCGGGGAAAGGGGTGGGGAATGAGCCCCACCTTCCAGTCCTTGCTACTCATCCCAGAATGACAAGGCAATCCCACAATCCTAACACTACTGTTAAAATTACCCATAGGAGGGACCCCACCAGCAGTTCAGGGACACGCACAGCACCCCCTCCCTGGAAAAGCAGACCTGTCGCTCTCTGCCAGGCCTCCTGCACTGCTCCTCCAACCAGCCTCCTCTTTCTAACATCTCTGAAAGAGATAAAGCAAGCCCAATCTGGCCCCACCCCACTCTAATCTCCCAGTGTCCCTCCCTCTCTGCTCTCCCCACAGGTACCCCCACCATGCATCCTTTTCCTGGCCCCTCCTGCCTAATCTAAGTGAGAGACAGCCACTCAGCTCCGGGTCTCCCCCTCCACGGGGGCTTCTCTGGGGGCACCTGCTCACCCTCACTGCCCCCACCCACGTCTCCACGGCGGCGTCTCCACTGCCTTCTTTGTTCTTACCAATGCTATAAGATGCATTATGGGACAATTTGAAAAATTTTTACTATCAGCTATATATGAAATGGTATAGCATCAAAGTTAAATTTTCCAAGTGTGACACATGCATCATGTAGAATGTGCTTGTTGTTAGGAGATCCCCACTGATGGGTGAAGGTGAGAACCGCCGTGTCTTCAGTATACTCTGACATGGTTCACCAAAAAATAAACACATGCAAGTGTAAGGCTGCAGAGGGCAGAGAGGGAGGCAGAAGAGACAGAGAGAGGCAGTGGAGGAGAGAGGGAAGAAGGGAGAAGAAATTAAAGGTGGCAAAATGTTAGCAACTGGCCAACAAAGTGAAGGATGGGTGAGGTTCATTCACATGCTATTCTTGCAACTCTACTGTAGACTGGAAAAGGTACAACATAAAGCATTGGAGGGAAAAGAAAAAAGGCTTAAATAGGGATATAATACCTGAAAACTTATCAATTTTCAAAGACATATCTCCCAAAATTAGAGTCAAGTAATGTGGTCTCACAGATAATGGGCAGAACAAGTTCAAGCCTCCGTGTGTATCTGAGAATGACGCTGTGGCTTTATCAGAGCTTTATTATCTCTGCCAGTAGAATGCTGGCAGAGACAGAGGAGCACAGCGGGTGGTGGTTGGGGGGTCTGTTTCCCCTTCCATGTCTCGTTGGTACATCTTGTTTCAGTTGTGCAGAATATCAGATCAATGCCTTTTAAAACCAGCACCTCAAATACTCTGGGCAAGATATGCTTTTTATTAAAGTACATTTCCATTTCTCATATGATCTCTCTGCCTTTTTCTTTTTTAATGTTGACTTGGCAAATAAGTCATTAATCATCTGTTCTTTGAGTGGTGGAGCCTGGAGATAAAAGCCAAGAAGTGGGGAATCCTAACTGGGCTGTCTGTCTCCAACAGAGAGGAAAGTGATGGCCCAGCTGCTCAGACTGACGGCCTCCACATGGCCGGAATCGCTCTTGCGGATTTATGGAGCCATCAGTAAGGGCTGCCTTTTCTCCCATTAACATAATTAAGACAATGGGTTCCTTTGGGGAAAGGAAGAGAAGAGAAGACCTGCGCTCAGGCTCAGAGAACAATTAATTCCACTGAGAGCTGTATCCGTCTACAAGTAAATAACTGATCTTCAGATTAGACTCTCAGAACTTTGAAATAACCCACCACCCACTGACAAAGTCAAAAGGCCCCCAAGAAAAAGTAATGGCCCCTTCCCCCAAAGGGCACACAGCAGACCTCTGCAAAGGCAGGCCCTGAGCAGGTGCAGGCTTCTCCGAAGAAGCACCAGTCAACCTGACAACCCTGAGAATCCTCTACAAGATACTCTCCTCACAGACCAGCAAACCTACCCAGCGCACATGAGCGCATGCGGAGAGAGGCCCAGACCACCTGCAAGGATCGATCGATGCATCCTTGGAGGAAACAGGGGAAGCATGCAAAAGTCCAAACTCACAAAATAAAGAGGAGATAATTCACATGGCCAAAGATTCTTTACTGAGCCCACAGGCTGCTCCTCTTGGCTGCCTTACAGGGCCAGCTCGCTTCACACGCCTCACACCAGCCTTGGAACAGCCCAAAGGGCATTTATTAAAGCTGACTGGATGCGAAGCTTGAAATAAAATTTTACTTTTTCCAAGAAGACATTTACTACATAAAGAGAGATAAACCCACTGAAATCAACTCCCGTATCCCCACAGAGGCCCAGACCTCGGCCTGCAGAAGGGAGGCAGAAGCTACACGTGCACTTGGGCAAGTTCATCTCACCCAGACTCAACTCCTCTGCTGTAAAATGGCACAGGAACATAAGAACACCCACCTTCTGGGTGCTCTGTGCGTGTTCAATGAGTGGTAAGATTGGCCCAGTGCCCACCCAGTGCACAGTAAATGTTCGCTCTGCTGTAATCAGGGATCAGCACCCACATCTGGAGACACGGGGAAG